TTGGATATGTTGGTTGCATGTCTTGCTTAGAATGTCAAGTGCTCGCCTAATTGCCAAGTGCGATATGGAGCAAGATCTGCGACCCAAGAAGTCTCTACAGTACTGAACAATATCAAACCCGAAATACAGGAGCAGCACCTCAGGTGGATCAAAATTGGCCGTGCTTGGAATGTCAGGGCAAGAAAATTAACGCTCTGCCGCGGGTTGATGCGGCCTAGGTGCACTTTGGTCCGTGTTTCCTGCTTCATGCGCTAGATTCACTAGATGCACTTTCCAGAACCCTGGCCTGGGAGGTACTCACCCACAGTCGCCACGAAGCGTTGCGCTCTGTCATGTATGGAAGCATTCGTGAGTGTGTCCAGCCTCCGCTTCCGCTCGGGTCGGGCCCACGAAGCGGAAGCCGCGCGGCACGTTTGGCTCCTCTGCACTATGTTGTCAGGATGCTTGGGCTTGCTGGACGTGCTCGTTCCTGCCTGCCATGCGACTTCGTACTTGTACTCCTGCCGGTGAACCTGGCTTTGTTGTGTTGGTATAGCGCATTAGGGATACTTCGTGCATAGAAACTGTCAGGCGGCATGCGGCATGGTCAGATCCGAGCTGAGGGGCTCTGGCGCATGCCCAGTGATTCCTGTAAACACAGACAAGTCGGGGGGTGTTGACGTTCTGCCTCCCCGAGTCGCATCCGGACTTTGCACATGCTACAAACGCTCTCGGAGTTCAATGGACTCGACATGGGCTTGTTGTTGACGAACACTGCTGCTTTAAAGTCGGGCCCACCGGCTGGATGGGCAACGGGAAAGGCTCTGTCTGGTTATGTCTGGTTGTTCCTTGACAGAAGTTGGAGGAGCTCTGACAAAACAACTACGCTCCAATCAAACGACACGAGTAATTCGGCCCCCGGCCAATTGTCCATCAACTCCTTAAATTTCCTGACTGAAATCTGTTTCGCCCCATGGCCAGGTGCTCCCCCCACTCAATCAGCGGTTCCTGCCTCTGACCCTCATCGGGCTCAAACTTGAGTTCGTCTCCCGCTGCAACCTTGCTTGGCCAGCATGCTCAAAAAGATGATCACAACAGTACGCAGCAGCACGGCAAATCAAAACATGCATTGAGCTCAACGCCACAGGTTCACCCCGCGATCTCCCTCTTTGGGGTAGAGCCTCCTCAACACAGTTAGCTTCCGTGTCGCATCATGTCGATCAGAATTCGACCACGGGGAATGCTGCACGGCGCTGTGTGCATCAGGTTTTGCTACGCTGCAGCGGACAGAGCTCCTGTCTCATCCCTGGATCGCACCCTTCCAGTTGCCTGCGTGCTGCTTCCAGGAAGGAATGATTCAAGCAACAGGCAGCACATCTGAGCTCTAGGCGGAATCGACGGAATGCTTCTGGCAGAACTCAGAAGCCTCCTTTAAGTCGGAACCTTGGTTGAGTCCACGCAAACTCGCTCAAAACATCTCAAAACGCCAAGGCTGTGGGGTCTGGGCAGCGACCATGCGCCGGCTGCTTCCTCGAAATCCTCCCAAAAACAGCTTAGACCACAAACTGCAGCCCACACCACTGACAACAACAGGAGTCTGCTCAGGGCCCAACTGGGATGTCACCCTGTCCTGCGTAAAGACACATCAGCTCAGGAAATCTCAACAACTGCTGCTGCATGATTCGACAAGGACGAATAACATTTTCCTCGACTTGCCCAGATGAGCTCGCGCAGCTGCAGCCCCTAGCCCTAGCCCTTTGCCCGGTGTGGTCTTTGTTTCGTGTTTTTTGTTTCCTGTCTTTTTTCAGTTCCGGCAGGTCGAGTGAAGTCCTCCGCACTACTCGGGCCGCCCTTGCCGAGCTTCTTTCTTTCCTTTTTGCTTGGTCTTCCGCCTTGATTCGGAGTAGGCTTTGAAGCCTTCTCTTGCTGGCCTTCGCTGTTCCCCTCCATGCTGTCTTCCATTCAGGGGGGAACCGGCATTCGTCGAACCTTCGCCTCCTGTAGCTTCGCGAAAGTCTCAGCGTTGGTGTAGCAGCAGCGGGGCCGTGTGGGCATCAGCCAGTGACACTCAAACGAAGTAGCGAAGCCTGCCTTACCGAGTTCAGCTGCCGCTACCCAGGAACGCTTCGATTGACTCTTCGATTGCACAAGCAACCTCGTCAGGGTTGCAGAACCATGTCACTCCGGGCGTGAAGGATCTCTCAACAACTCCACGCATCAGTAGTGTGTCAGCCGTCTCTGACACGTACTATGTCCTTCTCCGGCCACCCTAGGCCGTCTCACCATGTGCACGGGTCTGTCTCTCCCTGTCTGGATCCGACACAGCACGTCTCCTTACGGTCTGCGCCGAGAAGGACGGGGTTTGGCCGGCTGACCTGCTCCGCGAAACAAGAACCAGCTACTCTTCCTCGACGCCTCGTGCCTCCGGCCGCATCAGAGAGCTGTGTTTGGCCTCACGTGACAGATGACTGCCTTTCAGCTTCACACAACTGACCCCTCGTCTGAAGACAAGCTTCTGCCTTTGAATTTTTTTCACAGCAAGCCTTTTCCGACCCCAACAATTGGAGCTAATGCACACAAGCGCAAGATGCAGCACAAACTCTGGATTCCAACAATGAAGGTTTGGAACGATTACTGTAGTGCGGTCTCTTGAACTCTCAGGGGTGGACCATTGGCCCAGCGCGTGCCATCGAAGCACAGCAATGGAACTCTTGCTCAAAGCGCTCAAAAGCTTGGTGTGTGCACGGAGTTTGACACGGGATTCTGATCCCTGCTCAATCCCGCAAGATGCAATATGAGGGCCAACCAATGCTTGAGCACATCAAGAATCCCTGCAATCACACAATTCAGTGGTCCAGGCAACAAATAGGCCGTCGACGCTGCGCTTGGACGAATTGACCAAAGTGGCCAACTACATTCACGATTATTTAAGTAGTGTTGCGTCGCTTTGGTCCTGTGCGATTGCGCACAACGCCAGACAGAACAACGACACGGCGGACTAGACCACTGGGAGTGATTGCAGTCTTGGCACCGCTTCCCTGAAGGCTGCATGTTCTGCGTGAAAGCAAGTATCACGAAGTCAACGGTACGACGCTAGGAGTACCAGGCATAGGTGCAACGCAGGTCTTGCTGTTCTTGTCTCTCCTGTTGCAATTGCAACAATCTCCTGTGTTGCACAAGTGTGAGGCAGCCAGTGCATTTTCGGCTTCCATCTGGCACAAGTCTTTGGTGCCTGCCAATATTTTGCAATGATGTGCTACCTGACTTAAGATCAAGACAGAAGAGCACGAGCGACCATAGCAGATCGCCAGACACTCAGCGCATGTGATGTGCTGGTATGATGTACAAGTGGGAGAGAACCCACTAGCAACAGCCTCAGAACGCTCCGCCGAAGGCGGTGCAACGAGGAGCCGCCCTGAACTGTCCTGGATACCCAGTTGTTCTCTCTGAGAGACCTTGGTGCTGAAGCTGTTTTTGCCGGGCTTTGTTCCGACTGTTCCTAGCTCTTTTTCAGCTTCAGTGCCGAGGCCTGCGACTACAAAGCTGCATTGGCCAAACGAACCTACACAAGTGGACTCCGGTGCAGTTTGGCGGCCACAACTCAGAGTCAAGAAGTAGGGTGTCTGCCACTTTGCTTCGGTACGTCGAGCCATACAAAGGCTCCTACAGTTTCTGCTCGCAGCGGCCGGCTCAAGCTGTTCGGGAGCACTTCCTTTCCAAAGGAAGCAAGTGTGAGAGATGCGAGAGGGTTTGCGGCAGCGGGCGCTGCTGCCAGCTTCTCACTTAGGTCGCGCTTTCGCTGGAGCCTTGCAGGAAGGCAATGCGAAGATGGATTCTTTGGCTCGCCCACTGAATGCTCAAGCCACAGCATGTTCCCCCTCTTTTTGCAACTTTTCATCGAACGACTGTCTACACGTCCTCAAATCTCAGGCAGGCATTCATCACGATCCTGGTGGAAAAGACATATCGTGATTCTCACCTCATGACTGCCCGGGCGCTTGTCAGGAATGCATGTCACTCATGCAAAGCTCCCGTCACAGCTGGCTGAAATAGGGCACTGGCCAAATATCGTGTACGAGTCGTGGAGCGATACTCCCTTAGAAAGGACGTTTCGGGACGCTGGTAAGGAAGGGATTCATCACGCGCGACGGTCTACCAGAAGCTTACCATAGATGAGGTCTTACCCGATCTGCAAGCCACGTCTTGGGCTTGCTGTTCACGGCCACATGGGGCTCAAGGCCTATCATTCCAAGCTCCGAACCATCATGTGGATGTCTCGCAAGGCCAACGAAAGCTGTTGAGAGGAGCATCTCTGGGATGCAACTCGGCAAAACACGGGCGAAGATTCCCAAAACATCGGCAGATATTCCGTTTGAAAACAGCGCCAACTCTGCCCAAGCCCTTCAGGCTTGGCCATTCCTTGCTTAGCAGTCTTTCTCGGCTTTCCTGCTCCTTACGGTGCTGGCCATTCCTATTCTTGTCTCCTTTGAGGGTTCATAGCTGGCCCTGCACGGGCGGCATCGGACGGCCACGCCTTGCCGCTTGCTTTCGATCCACACACTCCTTGGTCCTCTCAAGGTTGGGCCGCTGCTATACGTTTATGGCGATGTCCATGAAACCTTAAACCCTCCGGCCGAGACGACAACCTAGAGGCTCCGGCCCCGAACTGTTTTTCGACATTGGCCTTTCGAAGCAGCGGGTCTCTGCACTCGAAAGCCCAGACGGTTGTGTGAGGTTTTTAGCATGTAGGGAAATAGGTTTAGCGCGAAGAAACCCTAGTGAATGGTAGTGTGGTGTCGGATGACAACCAGCACGGTGCACTAGCAGAATCCTGCTCGTAGTACCTTGAACGTTGCGTGGCAAGAGCCTGAACCCTTCAAAGGAAATCTTGACCGGCAAACCCGAAATCTCACATGGAGATGTGGGTTGGTAAAGCCTTCACACCTGCATCGGCGGCATGCAGCCACTCTGCTGGATTTTCAGGCATCACATCATCCCTTGGTTCCTGTGGTTCTTTGTCCTCAACAGGTGTCTTCGCCTGACGGATCTGAGCTCCTTGCTGCCATGACGGCTTCACCTGCCAGCTCGCCTTGACCTGCAGGATACTTGCGGCCGGTGCTCCCAATCGTCCGTCATTGACGACAACACGACACCGCCGATGCCGGTTACCAAATCTGCTGAAGCACATATAGCATGTATTCCTTTTCGATACAACGCTGGTCTTCTGCGTTACAGACTTGAGCTCGACAGCCTGGCAAGGCACCGTAGAGATGGTTGTAGGGGTTCAAGTGCTTCTTGAGGATGTGAGCCTGCGGCAACAGCTCCCGAAAAATTCAACACATACAATTTTTCATACAATGTGCCAGTGTCTCAAATTTAGATTTTGCTATCTAGATGGTAGCACCATCTTGCATGCATTCTCAGCACTTGGACCAGGTGCAGCGAAGGCATCAGGGACTCGGCACGGAGGTTGCCTCTGATTTTTCGTACAGGTCACCAAACGCCTTGGTGGGCAAGTGTACGACCACGTCCTGACAAGATCTGAGAAGCAATTGAGAATAATCCCAGGCCGCAGTGACCCGAGCAGAGCAGCGACAGAGCCCAACGGCGTCCTGACAGTAGCTCTGAAGAATGAAGAGGAAGTAGCCTGTCGAATCACATGGCAACTCCAGCATGGCACGGAAAGTGTTGGTTCCATCCTTCCACCCTTCCTTCTACAAGAGTGGCCATGACCAGAAAGGCCATCCAGACGACCCGCTCGACTCCGCAAGCCTGCCCGAAGCGAAAAACAGGGAATATCCATGGAAGCCCATCTCTAGTCACCTGGCATTTTTGAAGAAGGGCGAGTCAAGGCAGGAGAGGGCATAGAAAAAGAAGAAGCTGGCCATAAAAAGAAAGGAGGCAGGGAATTGGAGTGTAGGAAGATGCGCTGGATCCACCAGCACCCCGCTAAGCCCGCTACGAAGGGATGGGCGGCACTGCTTGCAAGGTTTGCGGGGATGTCATTGCAGCCAGCCTTGGAGCAAGTTGCAGGTAGGAAAGTGCACGAATCCGATGCACCATTGCAGCAAACAAACAAGAAGTGTGCAATGATGTGCATGCAACCTCCGAGCTCGAGACGTGGATAAGGTTTTCCCAGGCAATGCCACCTGAAGCCAGCTTTGAACTTGGTACCAAGTCGCCGCCACAGTGATAGCCAACCAAGCTTCGCACCTATGTCGAGCAGATACTGAACCAAGAAGAAGCACCTGTCCGTCTCTGCATCTTGAAACTCGCCGGCATCGCCCCCAAACGGAAACTCTAGCCGGCTTTTCTCTACGCTGAGCGTGAGACGTACAACGACTGTACGATGATATCTCACTCCTAGACTCGAGAGGTGTAGCCCTGTTGGCTGCATAAAAGATCTGGTCTCTTCACAGAAGAGTCGGCGCCCCGATTTCGTGGTCTGCGGCTTTCCCACAACCTGTCGGAGTCGTCCTGAGACTCCATGGAACCACACTTTCCGAAAGAACTCGCGCCTGCGTCTGAGCGCCGGACCGGCGCGGATTCATGCGTGTCCGTTGCCGTTTGTGGGCTTGTTGCCACGGCTGTTCTGTCGAAGCATCAGGCCGATCGAACCTAGGCTTGCTGGAAGAATGGCGCTGGCGCTTGGGATAAATGGCGGTATACCGCTCGCCTGAGGGGGAGGCCTTCAGCCCTAGCGACATCGAAAGGCTGGCCTTTGAAGACCAGGTGCGGTCTCCAGTCGATTTGGTCTGCGAAGAAAACAAGCGAACTATTGTAGACCGGCAGTCCAACTGGGCATAGCACCAGCTTGGACAATACAGCAACATCCTTCGTTTAGGGCGAGAGTGCCCGAGTTGACTGCAATGTGTGCAGCACCACGCACTTGGTAGAGCCAAGTCCTTGACAGAATTGGGCAGATGGGACGAAATAGCAAACTCGCCATCGACTGAGGAGGTCGCTCGTACTCAGACTTCTGGCCGGTTTGTTCTGACCGACCTCCGATAACGAACACTTCGAACTCCTGGCAGATCTAAACTTCTGCAAGGGATCCCCAGCTGCTCTCTGCCAACTGCGAACAGCCTAAACCCTAAACCCCAAA